GGGGAGAGGGGGGGTGCCGTGATGAGGAGACTGCGATGCAATCAAGCCCCTACAACGCATAATAAGATGTCGTACATACACTTCATTTTGCCGTACCTGAGTCAACTCGTTGGTGTCCCCCAGCAAACCGCTGAGCGCCTCCTGCATGTACGGAATCCGTTAGGCATTTGGCAGTTGGTGAGGCGTTGAAGCTGAGATATCCTGATATAATGATTCAAGCGAACCAAACTAAGAAGTACGGAAACATTGTACGACGCACGAGGATGTTGCCGTACCTGGATCTTCGGCAGCGTCGAGCCCCTCAGTGCAGCGGCCTTACCACAAAATCCCAGCAGGCTGACCAGCCACACCGAACCTGAGCACCGGACCTGCAGCCGTACGGCATGGTACGGCAAAACATGGAATGTGTACGGCAACCAGCAGAACAGCCTCCAAAATGGCTCCCAAAAACATATACCACATGCCGGCGGCAGGTAGAGCTTAGGGAAACCACATTGTAAGTGATCTATTGACAATCAACGCTTGTTTTAGAAAAGAGGGGACCGTCCATAAAAACTGAGGTGTGCATGTGTACCTGCCGAAATGTCCGGGTAGGGTTTGTGTGTGTGGGGGGGCGCCCGGGGCGGGCCCGGGGGGGGAAAGGAGGAGGGCGGGGGTGGACAGCGTCATAAGTGTTCTTTTCCCCCACCCCCACCCCCCTCCCGAACGGTGTACGGCCCACATGATACCTACTACTGCGGTAACTAACGCCCCGCTCCACGTCACCAACACTACCGACCCCGCCTAACTAACAAAACGGTCCCACAAGCTGCCCCCCAACCTCATGTGGGTCACCCAGAATTATGAACTGAACACGTGCACGAACACACACACACACACATACACAAAAAACCGAGTGGTTAAATTATTATAATGAATGATTCGTTAGTTCTGATCCAATTTTGATATACACACAAAAAAAACACGTGGAGACGTCGGCAGCTGATTATCACAAAGCCTGCGTGTGATTTTTTTCCTTCCCACCCCCCCACATGCACACGTACACATACACATACATACATACATACACACATACATACTCATGCTTGCCGTACGCACCTCCGTCTTGGCGCTAACCGTCAGCTCCTCCAGCAACCTGTTCAGAACCCGGTCCCGAAGAGCAACCACCGCCTCCGGCACCGCCGCCTCTTCTTCCGCCTCCGCCTCCGCCTCCGCCTCCGCCGCCCGCATCTCCACGTCAGAGGAGCCTGCTGTTTCTCCTGCTCCTCCTCCTCCCCCTGCCGCTGCTGCTCCTCCTGCTGCTGCTGCTGCTGGAGTCGCCGCAGTCGCCGCAGTGAGCTGGTCCGCCAGTGCCGTGAAGTTGTTGTTGAGGACGTCAGCGGGAGCCGCGGGGGAGAGACCGCCGAAAGCCCAGGCAAGCGCCTCGCCCACTGGGAATGGATGCATAGGGAATATCATTAATATATACATATATTACTTTTATTATATTATTTATATATTATATATACAGACATACGGACAATTCCACAGAATAAAAACCAGACAACTGAAACACAGACGCCAAAGAGACACGAGTGTGCGTACGGAACAGTCCGCACACACATACACACATACACACACACGCGGGGCGATCGACGTTGGGCTCCGGCATATCACTTCTGGGATACCACTGAATCTCACTGCACGGCGTAATTATCTCGAAAACACATTCACCTCTTGGCTGATAGCGGGGGAGGCGGGGAAGGGGGGGATTATAATTGGGTATTTCCGTACTACATCAGTATTTCCGTATTGGGTATTTCCGTACTGGTCGGCGCGTTCCCGACTAACACTCCCTTATGCCGTAATTACCGTACCCACCCACCCGCGAATTGTACGTCCTCCGACTTGTTGGTTGCCGTACTGAACAGCCCTTCTACCAGTTTCCCGCTGACGAGGGCGTCCGGGGCCCAGGCGGCTCCCCAACCGCCCGCCAGAAAGCCGGCGGCGGCGGCGGCACGTGAAACCACTTTGGCGTCCTTGTCCGCCAGCAAATCCAAAATGGATCCAACGGCTAAATCCAGGATCCGCGGCTGTGGCGGCGTCTGCGGAGCTTGCGTGCCGTTGGTGACCTGCTGCACAGCGGCGCCGCCAGCGGCGGCGTCGGTGGCGGCGGCAGCAGCCGCCGCAGCAGCGTCTTCCAGCGCCGCCGGCGCCGGCGCCAGCAGCGCCGGCTGAATCCCAGACGCGCAAGCGTACGACAACGACAGCGCTGCCGTAGCGCGCAGGATGGCCGGCGGCCCCGGCGGCGGCGTGGTGGCGGCGGCGGCGGCGGCGGCGGGGCCGGCGGCGACGCCAAGTATCGCCGCCACGGTGTCTACGGCGGCGCTGATAGCAGCGGGGTCCAGGGGGGGCTTGCCGCCGGCGGCAGCATGCGTGATGAGGCCTGTGGGTTTTTCGGGGGGATTTTGTGCGACCCGCCAGTGGGGGAACCCCCTCACCATCACGTCAGCTCCGGAACCAAGGACGGCTGGAACCGCCCTCCCCACCACCTTTCCGCACCGAAGCAACGCAAGGCAAGAGGTGGAAGGCGTATGATGCATTAATCACATTATAAAATTCGCACCGGGCATTCGCTCAGAAACCCCACTAAAACCTAATAAAACCTAATAAAGCCTGATAAAACCTAATAAAGCCTAATAAAACACACTAAGGCCAAATAAAACACACTAAAGCCTAATAAAACACAATAAAGCCTAATAAAACACACTAAAACCTAATAAAACCCCACTAAAACCTAATAAAGCCTAATAAAACACCACTAAAACAACGTGCGCAGCAATAAACGTACCGATGGCCAGCAGGCAGCCCTCGGCCTCCTCCTGCTTGACGCTACTGGGGGGGGACGTGGCGGAGGCGGAGGCAGCGGCCACCGCGCCGCCAGCACCATCGCCGCAGCCGCTACCCCCGCCAGCAACGGCTGCCGTACGACCTCCCGACATCACCACTAGGGGCGCCACCTGGCTGCACAGCCCACTCAGCAGCTCCTGCGGCAGTGGCAGTAGCAGTGCAGAAGCATCAGTGGTTGTAGCAACAGTGGTAGCAGCAGTAGTAGCAGCGTCAGCAGCCGCTATACTTGTAAAGTGTGTTGCTGTAGTGGCAGCGGAGGAGACAGGGGCCGTATGGGTGGCAACAGGAGCAGCAGCTGTAGCAGTAAGAGTGGCAGTAACATCAATGGCAGCGGTGGCAGCAGTAGCAGAGGAACACTGATAGTAATAATAGTAGCAGCAGTAGCAGTAGCAGTAGCAGCCGTCGTCGTAATAGCAGCAGCAGTAGCAGTAGTAGCAGCAGCAGTAGCCGTAGCAACAATAGTCCTCAGCACCAACCCCCTCCCACCCCCTCACCTCCACCCCCCTAGGCGTCATGGCAGTCACCACATGACTGGCCAACAGCTTGGCGGCCGCGACTCGGGCCCCCGGGGCGGTGTGGGATAGGAAGGTACGGAGCCACGCGGCACGAGGGACGTATCTGTACGGCGGGGAGGGGGTGGTTCGTCTTAACTCACCCACAGGTTTACGACACAGGTTTACGACAAAGAGACAGACAGACAAACAGGTAGTTAACATGGAAGGTAGGAAAACGGAAGGAGAACCGAACGGATAACAAAACTAACTGAATTGAAGAAGGGCTCCGTTGTGCAAATGAGACTCTATAGGGTAATTACCTGCCAAAAATGAAACACATTCCTGCTCCCCCCCGGGCCCCCCGGCCACCTTCCCCCCTTCCCCCCTCCCCCCCTTCCGCATTCCGACGCCGCATCCCCCCTCCTGCCGTCCTGCCGTCCTGGCCACCCACCTAGCCGCCAGCACACCCCTGGAGTCCTCCGCCGCCACCTCCAGCAGGGCCTCCAGCGCCGCAGTAGCAACCTCAGAACTGCCCTGTACGAACGGGAAGATTGGGGTTTTTCCATGATGTGTGTGTGGAAGGGGAAAACACA